GTAAGAAAATTTAATATTTTTTTATTATTATTTCATAATTTTTCAAAACTAAAAACAAAAAAATAAAAACTTCATTTTCTTTCTTATTCTTTTCTCTCTCTTATCGATTTTTCTTCATCTCCAAAACAAACAAACACAGATTTGCCCATTGATGGAAACTCATTAAGTGGAGATTGCTTTGGTTTTTTCGTGAGCCTCCATGCTTTCTTCCACTCATTAATTTTGGTTGCTACTGTTGCTGCTTCTTCATCAAAACAATCAAGCCCCGATCTGGGTTTGTCTCAAACCCAGATCGGGGCTTGAAACTACATTTCTCCATCCACCTCCACTTCTCTCCTCACTCGCCATTTCTCCTTTGAATCAACGGATACTATTGTGAAGAAGAGCTTGAAGCCTGGCGTCATGGCCCCCGCACGGCTCTGCAACAGCAACGGCTGGTATGCGTCGTCGTAGGCTCACTGTAGGCTCGGTCGCGTCGAGATCTGGCTTTATCAGCTCCGGCTCCGACAGTAACATGCGTCGGGATCTAGCTCACTGCAGACTCGGACAACGAGCTAGCCACTGATGAGAGCTTCATTTTTGTTCTATTTTTTTGAACTCTTGTGGTTTTTGTTCTGTTTTTTTGAACTCTTGTGGTTTTTGTTATGTTTTTTCGAACTCGTGGTTTTTGTTCTGTTTTTTCAAATTCGTGGTTTTTGTTCTATTTTTTCAAACTCTTGTGGTTGATTTTTGGTCCTAATTTTGCTATTGTTCTTTGTCTTGATGGAATTGGAACTAGAATTTTTGGTTCTCTTTAAACCAGTGCTCGCTGGTTTCTGTGTTGATTTCGCCGGCATTTTAGGTTTTGGTTTGCTACATATCGAGTCTCCGGTGGTTCGATACTGTTTCTTTTTGATTTATTTGCATCCATGTGAGTTGACTTGGTTTGATAAAATTCGAATATGTATTTGAGGTTTTTTTTTTGGACTGTGATTTAGTTTCTCTTTGTTGCATTTCAATGGTGTCAGAGGAGTCATTTGGGCTTGAGAAAAACCCAGATCTGGGTTTGATTTGGAGAGGAAGAGGAAGGGACAAGAGAGAGAGAAAGTGAAAGAGGAAGAAGAGATGACATGGAGGTTTTATTGTTAGACTGTGATTTAGTTTCTCTTTTGTTGCATTTTAGTGGTATCAAAGGAGTCATCTGAGTTTAAGAAAAACCCAGATCTGGGTTTGATTTGGAAAGGAAGAAGAAGCGACAAGAGAGAGAAAGTGAAAGAGGAAGAAGAGATGACATGGATGGAAAAAAAAATTCATTATTTTTAAATTAGATAAAATAAAATGCCAACTCATAAAAAAAAGGTGCCATGTCATTAGTTAAGAAAAAAAAATTGATTTGCTGGCAAGTTAACGTGCCACCTGTCCATTTAACTGACGGAAGGATGGTTTTGGTACCGAAAATGAAAGTTTAAGAATAATTTTGATACTTTTTAAAGGTGAGGGACAATTTTGGTACCAAAGTGACAAGTTGAGGGACCAAAATGGTACTTAAACCTTTATCATTTAATAAAGTATAAAAACATTATATACTTAATTATATACTTGCAATCATGATACTCCATATAATTATAAATACTATAATAAAATTACTTAAATTTTCACAATTCATTAGAAATTAATAAAAAATTCGATAGAGTTTCCCTTAAAAATTGTACTTTCCTACTGTGAACAATGTATAAAAATACATTTACCCTTATATATATATTTCCATTTATGATATTCAATAAAATTAAAAGTCAAACTAGTTTCATTTAAATGAATAAAAAGTTCAAATTTATCACCAATCCAAAGAATGCTTTCGAGCACATTAATCAACATGTATAAAGTTAACTTCTTTGAGCCATTTTATCAACATGTTCAACTCTAGAGGAAGCAAATGCATAATCAGAAAAATATTTTCAAATACGGATAACACCATCTTTTCTTCACAATTTGACACAATAATTATTAAAAAGTTTTTAATAAAATTGAACCTCATATTATTTTATTAATGAAATTTTGGTAATTTTAGTATACAAACGGCCAACCATAATGTCATTCTACTTGTCATTCCAACTGAAAAACACCTCTCTAATCTCCTAGTTTGATGAAACCAAAATTTCAAATCTTGAAACTAAAACAACATATATATATATAT